GCGCGGAAGAGTGTTTTATTTTCTACGTCGAGGAAGCCGGTGTCCTCCCACTTCTTCAGATTCCTGGTGAGTCCATCTATCGATACCTTGGAGTCGCTCCTTATTTCAAGTTCTCTGTCGCGTGGGCACAGTTCGATGGCTGCCTTAATCGCAACCAGTTCTCCGACATTGTTGGACCTGCCGATATCGCTCGGAATGCTGATGGCCTTGTTCCTCGGGTTTTCTTCGCCAAAATACACGCCCGCGCCCGCCTTCGCGTTCGCTGATCCGTTTCCGAAGGCGGATCCGTCGGTGTACGTCACGACTGTCTCCGTGTCTTGGTTCGTTTTGTGTTTCGTGTCGGGGGCCATGGTGCGTAGATTTCGCAACGCCCCCTTCGTGAATATCCTAAAGGTATCCGCTAGGGTGCCGTGTGTCGTGACTCCGGGGTCGAAGTCGACGCTCTCTTCAGTGGTTGCCCGCGGTCCTTGGTCGTCCTCGTAGTCCTCCGGTTGCGGTTCTCTGGGGTCCCATTTCTCCTCCAGCGCGTCCAGGAGCTCTCTTGCTTTGCAGTAGCATTCGTGGGGGTTCAGGCAACCCGTGACGATTCTTGTTAGGCGGCAGGTCGGGCATCCGCAGTACCTCCTCGGTCTGTGGCGGGGGGCATCCCTTTTCGCTCCCAAGCGCACCGCATCGCGCACAAGTTTAATTTTGTGGTTGTCCCGTAGGCAGCGCACTACTTCGACCTTCCTGTTGTAGACTGATCTGTCTGCATAGGACTTGCTATGGTACCAGATAGGCATCGAGCCCTGTATGCTCCGTGATACTGCTATCGCGTCCATCTCGACGCCATATTTCTTCCCGACTTCCATCATGTCTGCCAGGTCTTTCCCTACGGACTTCACTGACGTCTTTGGTGCCCACGACTGGAGGTACGTGTTCATCCGCATCTCCTCCGCTGCGCTTTTGTGCTTACTCGACCCTTTCTTTGCTAGTATCTCGTCCGTGACGAAGCACCATAGCGGCCGGTTCGGTCCGAAGCTTAGATATGTTTTTAGCCAGGTAATTGAGATTGCCTCGTTGCGCGCTACGATGTCGAGGAGGTTCTTACCTCCGACCCCCGCGGGTGCGTAGATCATCTCTTTATTCACCGTTACGTTGGTCTTCTCCGCCCACAGGAACTTTCGTACCCGCCTTTCTAGCTTCTTCTCAACTTCTTTTGGCATGCCCTGGACCGTCGCCAAGTACTGGGTCATTCCGCCCACTACCATCAGTACAATGAGTCGTCTTCCCTCCATGGAGGGGTGTCCCTTTTCCCAGCGTTCAAGCGCCTTATCTATTTTTTCGAGGGTGCTTGTCCAGGTATCAACTTGGGTTACACCGTTCCCGACCCACGCGCCCAGTGTGCGGATCGCCTCGCCCTCTTTGGCGATTCTTATGTGTGCGGGGATCATCGTTCCGTCTATTCCGTTGATGAATCGCGCTGCGCGGACCCGGTCTCGGTGCGCTATCGTCCCGATTGGGATCATTTCCGTCTTGCTAATGTTGAACTTCGCCCCGGCAGCGAGGCACCATTCATCCAGGATCTTCAGCAGGTCCCCGAAGTCGTCGTCAGCGTCGAGGTAGACCATGGTGTCGTCTGCAAAGAGGGTCGCAATGAGCCGCTCTGTCTTTCCTTTTATTTTGATGCCTTTTAGCTTGGACTGTCGTAGTGCCTCGGCGAGTGGTTCGATCGCGAGGTCAAACAGCAGGCATGAAAGTGGGTCCCCTTGCCTCACTCCTCTCGTCACCTTGAAGGGTTGTTTACTCTTCTCCCCGTTTAGGATTACATAGGTATATGCGTCGCTGTATAGGGCTTTCACGGTGTTGATGAATTCATCAGGTATGCCGTAGCTCGCCAGTGTGCGCCACAGGTAGTCATGCTTGACCTTGTCATAGGCCTTCTCCTGGTCTAGCGCAACAATGACGCCGTCTCGCTCCGTTGCTTCTGCGAGTTCAATGATCCGTTTCGTCAGCCACACCTGGTCTCGGATCTGTCTTCCCGGGACGAAGCCGGCCTGGTCTGGGTGAATCAGGTCTGGCCCAACCAGAGCGAGCTTGAGGGTGAGTGCTTTCGTGAATAACTTGTAGTCGGTGTTGAGCAGTGAGATAGGCCGGTAGTTCGCTATGTCGGACGTATCGTTCTTTTTGTATATAGGGCACATCCAGCTTTTGGAGAAGCCCGTTCCCACCACCATTCCGTGGGTTTCGATGTCGTTGTATACATGGAGCATCGCGTCGAGTATGTCGAACGCTGGCTTTTCTAGCGCGCGGGCCGTTGCATGTCTAGCGTCGAGGAGCTTCCACAGCTCGTATGTGATCCCATCCAGGCCCGGTGCCCTGAAGTTTGCTGACTTCTTCAGTGCGTCGCGAACATCCTTGGGGGTTAGTTTCGCCTTGAGCATGGCTTTCTGCTCCTCCGTTACTGTGCGTTTCGTGCGGCCGATGACGGTTTTGATTATTTCTTCGCGGATCGCTGAAGGTATGTTGACTTCGTCTTTCTGGATTCTTTCGTGGTGATCCTTTGCTAGTGTTGCCATACGCTTCGAGTTGGTCTCATACAGTACGGGTCCGTCTGGGTCCGAGCCCACTTTGAGCCTGTGGATCACGTCCCGTGGTTTGTTCTCCTTGTTTATCATCGACCAGTATCGCCCTATGATCTCGCCTTCAAGGCGGGTTCCGGACTTCGGCGCTCCTGCGTGACGAATTGTACCGCTTCTTCTGGAGTTCAACGAGGTTCTGCAGTACAATGGTCTGTGCTACTTTTTTATCGTCGTCTGATATATCTTCCTCATCGATGTCTCGCAGCTTTTTCTCTACTTCCGCAATGTCTCGGATGTGTCTTGGGACGAGAAGGAACGATCGTTCGCGGGCTTTGTCCCCTATTCCCTTTTTGAACTTGACCCACAGGGTCTGTGCGTTGTGGGTCGGGTTCCTGGCCCCTTCTGTGTCGAGTTTCTCAAGTTCGGTTTGCAGTTCGATTCCCGTTTCCAGTATGTACTTACCGAGCATCTTGTCTTTCAGAATCCATGCCGGCCATACCCATCGGCCGTGTCCGATTGTGGGGGCTTCAGTCGTGGTCCCCTTCACGGATACCATTCTATGGTCAGTGTCGATCCCAACTGTTTCTATCTCCCATTCGAAAGTGTTGTTAAAATTCCCCCGCTTTACTAGGATTCTATCTAGGCGGGATTGTGCTCCTCCTTGCGCCTCTGATTGGTAGTATGTGTACGCGCGTATCGTCGGGTAAGTCAGTCGCCACCCGTCTACAAGTCCCAGGTAGCTCATGAGATCGTCCAGGGCGTCAACGGTTCCATTGTTATCCTTTCGTGCCGGTAACCTATCTATTGCGTCTGGTACGTTGTTCCAGTCGCCTCCCGCGTAGTCCGGTCTCCTTCTGCCTGGGCGGTCCGTATACCATTGCTTAATTTCTTTCATACAGGCTGCGTTTTCCCCTGGCGCGTTTGGCATGTACACACCCAAAACCGACATGTCTTTGCCATCGACATTCTTCATGTCCAGGACCATTGCGCGTCCTGGGATGATTTCCTCCACTTTCACATTCGACGTCTCGACCATGTTCTTGTTCAATACAATGGCGACACCTTTCGCGTTCGACGTGCGTGGGTCCTTGGTGAACTCAAGACGTATCTTTCCCCCGAATAAATTGTCGATGTCTGCTTTCCGTGCGTCGTCTAAGTGGGCTTCCCCTACGATGAGTACTCCAATCTTTTCCTCGCGCATCAGTTGCCATACTCCATACCACTTGTTCTCAGGATGGTAGACGTTCGTGTTCCCTAGTCCTTTGATGTTCAAGGCTGCGATTCTTATGTGAGCCTTCTTGTTCTTCTTCCCGGGGCCCATGTAGCTTCTGGCGGGGCCGGGGTACTCTCGTGGTTCGGGCGGGGGGTCCGCGGGGGGAGGGTCTGCAGGCGGCTCTGCCGCATCGTGTAGGGCTCTCCCTTCTGCCATTAACGCGTCCCATTCGCGTTGTAGCTCCTCGTCTGTCAAGCCATGTCCGGGCAGGGCATCATTCGCTCCCTCGACGTCTGTTTCTGCGTCGTTCGGTCTACGACCGTGGTCAACTGGGTCCTCGTTGCCAGTGCCTTCAGCGCTTATCTCGGGGTCGTGAGATGGACGTGGTTCTGTCCGAGGCGGGTTCGGCCTCAACGCTTGGGTCTGTGTTTGCGTGTTGAAAAGATTCGGAACACGTACCTGCGTCACAGGTTGTGCGGGCTGTCGCCCATCGTCGACTGGTAGGAGGAACGGGCTATCCCTATAGTGGGGATAGTCGTTAGCCCGACTCGTCTCCGGGCGACCTCCTGCACTATCCCCTCCAGTTGAACGGCCTTCGTCAGGATGGCGAGTGCCGGTGGCGGAGCTCCCGCTCCCTCCAGCCGTCAACATAACCGCACCTGTACCGTCGTTGTAAGCACCGTTAATATTTTGTATATAATTCGTGTTTGCCGCGGGTGTTAAGGAACCGCTGCAAACTCGCTAAGTCTGAAGCGGGCGTCGTTGATCTTCGCCCATCGACGAGTTCTCGTCGCTCAGTAATGAACTTATCGGCGGGTTGCAATCCCTTTGTTTACTCAGAACTCAGAAACCTGCGCGAGCTGGCCCATACCGTTGAGAACAACCCAACAAGTCGAATTGTTGAATAACTGAACAGACTAGATTTCACAGGCGACTCTTCCGACAACGGGAATTGATGCCACGGTATAGATGATGGGGACGGGACCGTGTTCGGGAAAGTGACCTCGTTCAAAAAGGTAAGAGTTCACATGGATTTCCCCTGCGCTGGGACATGGCGGGCCTGGGTTGACTTTCTATTCTGACTGGGGTTCCGCTGCGCTGGCAAAACAGACAAGAATTTCCCCACTCCGGTTGAACCTCGCCAGCTCGTAAAATTCTCTTCAACCTCGCAAGCTCGGAACTCGGACCAGGCTGATCAAGTGCCCTCCACACCGTGTGCTCACAAGGCTCTGGTGGTCTAGTAGAATGATACGTGCTTTGGGAATTCCGCTCATCTGCACGGGGTCCCGGGTTCAAATCCCGGCCAGGGTCTTTTTTTTCTTCCCCTGCACCTTTTGGATGGTTCCTCTTTCCTTTTCCAGGTCAGTGGCATCTCCAACTGCCGGGGCGCTCTGCGCCCCGGCCTTGGCTTTGCCCCCTCAAACCCTCATGCGCCAGCAGACACACAATAGGATGTGAGTAATCCAACATTGAAGACAGCGGACACCAGAAGAGGCTGTGAAGACTTCAATTCTGAGAGCATCACACCTGGTGCCCTGTGAGGTCAGTGTTCTGGTATTCTGACACACCATGACTTGCTAATGTCCTTTCCACTTCCTCTGTACCAAATCTAACAATAGATAGATCCTTGAGCTCAGAAATACCAAACTTGAATCTCTGCTATGACCCTGTGGCAGGTTCGAGCTGTTCTGGTTCTGTGCATCTGCACCATTGACACTAAGAGTTGGCTGAGAGAACGCTGAAGAAGCAACCACACTGAGTACAAGAAGAAATTACCAGAGCCCTAGCCAGATGATTCCTCCATGTGTCACGATTCGATTCCAATCTTATCGCGACAACACCTATCTCGGAGGCGCCTAATGAAGCGCCCACAGATGAGATAACGAAGGGATTAGATATGGACTTAGATTAGATAGTTGAACACCTGGCAAACACATGGTAAAAGAACATTGCAGAACATTCCGGCACTACATGCTGCAGCAGGATGGTTTACGCACCGAGTACATACACGATTCATATTCACACGGTTCACAGAACAGTATAAGTAGAGTAGTTAGTTTCTTGTATTCCTTAGTCTTTTATTCGATTCATTTCTCGAAGTCCTGCGCATCTCACTCCCCAATCCGCTATCTCTGTATAGTCGGACGAGATAAGGCTTTGATTGTGACATAATAAAAGACTCCCCTTCGTACCACCCGTACCGTCATACCTCGCTCTCACCCCACTTCACCTTACCACCACCCACGCACTATTTGCGTAAGCATTACCATTTCACCATCTCGCGCGCTCGCGCACTCGTTCCAAACCTCCTTTCCCTTTCCTCCATTTCCGACAACCCGTATCGGACCACTATAACAGACAGACGCTGTACCACGGGAAACGTTGAGTCCGTCCCAAGTACAATAGCAGTCGTAGGGGTACTGGGCAGATCCTCGGAGAGGCCCATCCCGCTATCGCCGGGGGTGTTGTAGAAGACCCGGGATAGTTCTGTTCGCAAAAGACCGATACGGACCCCACCAACCGCTTAGTGCGGAAGAAGACCAGTCGCGCTGTTCCGCGCACCCTCTAGCACCGGCTCTTCGGAGTCATCATCATCGTCGTCGTCTTCCTCCGCGCACCCACCACCTCCTCCCCACGGCGTACCTACACATCTACCGCCTCTTCCCCTGATACTCCCCACACCTACTGCGCCACCCACTTCACCGTCCCCCGCCACACACCTTTACCACTCGTTCCCGACCCTCACCGACATGTCTCACCACACCGCATCCCAGGGGCCAAGCCGTGCCCCATCCCCTGCGCCTAGTGTGCAGATGAACGACCCCGAACCCCTTGCTCCCACGCCGAGAATCTCATCCTCTCGGATCACCCTCGCCTCTCTCCCGCCGCACTTTGACGGGAACGACAAGTCCAAGTGGGACACTTGGAAAGATGCGCTCGGAAATTACATCTGGGCATACGAGGCGGAGTTTCGCACCCCGAAGACAAAAATTGCCTTCACGATTTCGCTGCTCGGCAGCAAGGACGGCGCGCCCAGCCCAGCTTCCAACTGGGTCCGTAATTGGCGCAAGCGAGTGCTCGACGAGGACGACGAGCTACCGGAAGGATATTCCTTCAAGGGTTTTTTGGACGACCTTGGCAGGACGTTCAGGGACCACAATGTGCGCCAGACAGCGTACATTCGCCTTACCACCACGAGGCAAGGGAAGACCGCCTTGGCGGACTTCATCCAGGCGTTCGAGTTGAACGCAGAGGAGGCGGGATACGACCCGCACGACGACTTGCACGGGCACCACAACCAGTTCCTGTGCGAGAACCTAGAGAACCTCGTCAACGAGGAGGTTCGCACGCAGCTCTATGCCGGGGGCGTAGAGATCCCGGAGGATTATGCCGGGATGAAGGCCAGGATGATGACGATTAGTCGCATCCTAGAACGGCAGAAACTGCGCAAGGCGCAGCAGCCGAAGGCGGCCGGCACACCGTTCTGGGTCCCCGCCAAACCTCCCCCACCCGCACCCAGCGGTAATTACCGGGGAACTGCGCCAAATTTGGCGAAGAAGCTCGGTCCGGGGGAAGTAGCCCCTATGGACGTGGATGCTTCGAAGTCGAAGGGGAAACCCTTCAAGTGTTACAACTGTGGCGATGAAGGCCACATGGCACGCGAGTGCCCACAGCCACGCCGGGAGCGTGGAAAGATCAATGTCCGCGCTCTGCGGACGAACGAGATGTCGAAGGAGGATTTCAAATTCCTCTTTGACCAGGCCCGGGCCATGTATGGCCAGGATTTTTAAGGAGGGCCCCGATCAAGGCCGAATCGGCGCCCCCCGCTTCTCTTCCCCTAAATAAATATGTTCCGCTTGAGGTGGAACCGACCGAGACCCGAAGTTCTTTTGTAAATTATATAAAACAGCGCACTGCTCTACGTACACAGGACAATATAGTAGTAGGAGTAGATGTAGAAAAAGACAAAAAACAAATACGTATTTTAGAGAATCTGAATCGCATCCGTAATATTAAAAACCGTAGAATGGACGAAGTGAACAAGCGTTGGAGTTTATTTAAAAAGGCCCCTGGAACCCAAACCAGTGAGAAAAATAGTGCGGATAAAAAGGGCGGTGCTACCGCGATGGCTCAACCCACAGTTGTGGGGGAAGCGCCAAAACACACACGAGTCCCCTTTGGACTCAAGAAGCAGGAGGCAGCCAGGTGGCTTGCACGACGTGCGATGGGTATCTCAGACAACCTATTAGCGCAGGAACTCCGGGAGTTCCAGAAGCAGCGGAAGCAGCATGAGATGCTGGTGTCAGTGGAGCTGATGTCTCCGGACACGGGGAAGACACGCCGTATCAAGGCGCTGCTGGACAACGGCTGCACTACCACGTGCATTGATAGGGCGTACGCCAAAGCAGAAAACTTTGAGCTCCGAGAGCTTGACCAGAAAATTGTCGCACGGAATGCAGACGGATCCGAGAACCTTGGAGGACGGATTACGCATTACGCAGAATTAATTATGGGAGTTGGACTCCACCGGGAACGAATAAAGTTCTTGGTTACAAATCTCGGGAAGGCCCGTGTCTTCATCGGATACGACTGGTTATTTAAACACAACCCCGAGATCGACTGGAGGTCTCAGAAAATTACCTTCAGTCGGTGCCCGCCCGAGTGCTACATGCAAGGCACCGAGGAAACCGAGAGGCACCGAGGAAACCGAGGGCTGGAAGCCGGAGGAAGCGCTCGAGGAGGGTGAGTCGATCTTGATGGTCGACTTTGCGGAGCACATAGACCTGCGTGTCAAGGCCACTCAGGCACAGCAGATGGCGGAGGAGGCAGATAGAAATAGAGAAAAGATGACGGAGGACGCGGTTCCGGAGCAGTATCGCGAATACATTAAGGTGTTTGCAAAAGAGTCGTTTGACCGACTTCCGGAAAAGAGGCCGTGGGATCATGCGATCGAACTAAAGCCGGACTCCAAGGCAGTTGATTGCAAGATCTACCCGTTGTCCCAGACGGAGCAGGGAGAGTTGACCAAGTTCCTAGAGGAGAACTTGAAGAGTGGACGTATCAGACCGTCGAAATCACCTATGGCTTCGGCGTTCTTTTTTATTAAAAAGAAGGATGGAAGCCTTCGACCGGTGCAGGATTACCGGAAGCTTAACGAGATGACGATCAAGAATCGTTATCCACTGCCGCTGATCTCGGAGCTTGTCAATAAACTCCGAGGAGCGAAGGTCTTCACGAAACTGGACATTCGCTGGGGATATAATAATATTCGTATTAAAGAGGGAGATGAATGGAAGGCAGCTTTCCGAACCAACCGCGGCTTGTTCGAGCCGCTCGTGATGTTCTTCGGCTTGACAAACTCGCCGGCCACTTTCCAGACAATGATGAACGACATCCTTCGCGAGTTAATTAACGAAGGAAAGGTCATTGTCTACCTCGACGACATCCTTATTTTCACGGACACTCTGGAAGAACACCGACTTATTGTAAAACGAGTGTTGGAGATACTCGAGAGAAATCAATTGTATTTAAAGCCGCAGAAATGCGAGTTTGAGCGCAGTGAGGTCGAGTACCTCGGAGTAATTATTGGTCACAACTCCATGAGAATGGACCCTGTGAAGATCCGGGGGATCACCGAGTGGCCGGAACCGAGAAACCTCAAACAAGTCCAGGCGTTTTTGGGGTTCACCAATTTCTATCGGCGATTCGTACGGGGATACAGTGAGGTGGCCAAACCCCTCACGAGGTTGACGGGGAAAGAGGGCTTCTCCTGGGGAGAAGAGCAGAAGGCGGCCTTCCAGAAGTTGAAGGACCGGATTGCGGAGGACGTGGTGCTCGCACTTCCCACGGATCACGGGAAGTTCCGGATAGAGGCTGATGCATCGGAGGGAGCAACTGGGGCGGTGCTTGAGCAGGAGCAAGAGGGGGGGTGGCGCCCGGTGGCGTTCCAGTCCCATGGACTGAACGAGACGGAGCGGAACTACGAGATCTACGACAAAGAGATGCTCGCAATCATGCTCGCGTTGGAGGAGTGGAGATCTCTCTTGATGGGAGCGCAGGAGACATTTGAGATCTGGACGGATCATCAAAACCTGCAGTATTTTAAAAGTCCTCAGAAAGTCAATCGGAGGCAAGCGCGATGGATAGTTGAGCTGTCCGAATACGACTTCACGCTTTCTCACCGGCCTGGAGCGCTGAACAAGAAAGCTGATTTACTATCCCGCCGGGCGGACCACGACCAAGGGAAGAATGATAACGAGAATATTGTTCTTCTCAAGCCCGAATATTTCCGATCTCAGGAGATCGTGTTA